AAACATGATCTAGAACAATTAAAAATAATCCAAGTTTGGATTTAAATTGAGCTTGCAAGATATCGAAATAGAAACCCTGGCGCTTCAATGCCAGCGTTCAGAACAAAAACAGAGGCTGCTGTGTGTGCGAGGGGGTAAATTGTTTTATCAGACACAACTGTATCAGAGAGAGAGAGAGGCGGCACTGAACAGGCCATTCAGAATGAAGTGCTGTAATCCGATTCTGCTCTTGAATCAAAAAGAAGATTAACTAGAATAAAAAAATCATTGGCCTACTGTTTCCTTCTCCCAGTCCCTGGGTCTCCCAGGGTTTTTTTCTCTTTCATTCCAACTGAGATTTTAATTACTCAGGATAACTGAACCCTTATGTCGAACTATTTTCTTGATTAGATTTTTTAAACAACAGTTCTCATATCCTACAAAGTTAGAAATTTAGAAAGCACAAGCACATACCAGATGCTTATTTGAGAACTTATCTAATTTCAGTGGCCATGTGTCAGGAATTAAAGCACAGGGGAACATGCGGAACTAAGGGTGAGTTTTATGGGTGAGCTTGTTACAGCACTAGCTGTTAACCTATTAAGATGTAGCTACAGGGGAGCCATATTCTATTAAACAAGCTGTGAAGTGATTGGTAACAGTTCTATATTCCAGATTCCTTGGCAATTATACTTACAGCAGGATATTCCTAAGGACTGAATGCAAAAGAGATTTAAGATTTTTAAAAGAGATTTAACATATAGTTCAATTAAGGGTTCAATAAGCCTAATGAGATCAGCAAAAAAGCCAAAGAAATAGGAAATCTGGAGGACTGCATTTTTAAAAGTATATAAGACAGTATCTTCTGTTATTTTAATTTGCCTGTACAAAATATTTTTAAAGAAACTTGGGGGGGTCTGGAACAAACTACACAGCCTATTGTAAAGACTGAACGTTCAGATCCTTTCAAGAAACATCTGGACAAAACACACCAAATGTCAACCAAATGAGGACCAAACACTGAAAGGCCTCCTCTCTGACTTTTTAACTGTCCACATTCTTGATCTTGATCTTGATCCACAGGGTCTTCATTCTATACCAGTCCTTCATGACTTGACTGGATCGCTAAATGACTTCAGTGGTTTTAATTACAACGGTTTGATTTGAGCTCCACAGAAAAGTGACCTTTATCTTTCAGTTGCTGCAATGTTTGTTATGCATTGTACCTTGACAATTTCTAAAACTAATAAAATAGAAGACCAAGTCACATGCGGTTGTGTTAGGAAGCATTAATCAATCATGAGGTGCTGCCTAGGCGACTGTCGATTTTGAGCGCCGAGGGCAGGTTTCTGCTTAGATGCACCAAACTCGGTGTGAAATATGAGAAGCAACAGGAAACCATACAGAAAAAAATAGGCGGGTAAGAAATATTGCACCATATATCAGGTCTGATTAAAATGTGTGGCTAAAACTGCTGTGATCTCATTCATTTTCTGCACAATCGTTCTGCCATCAATACATGCAACAATAAATCTGAGGTAATAGGTGACGCAATTTCCTCCTAGGGACTGGGGTGTTGTGAGTTATTCTCCCTTCCTCTCTTTGCTACGAGTGCTGCTAACACCGCCAAATTTAAGGAAACAAGAAAGATCAAATATAATAATGCATACTAAAGTAAACATGAGCACTGGCAATATATATCTGTGCAAAGACTTAACTAATTAAAAATAACAAATGCCAATGTTTACAGATATCTATTCAACACAGATATATTTATCACAGCAAAACTAATAAACAATATTGTTTCAAATGCTTCCAACACTTATATCTTTTTAATTGGCACCTCTTAAGTTACATTAAATAACAATAATTACTTCCATTTATACGATGCTTTTCCACCCTAGCAATGAAAGTGGTGAGCCCTGCTATCTCAGAGAGATGTTTAACCACGGCTGCTCTGAGACGCTCTCTAAAGGTGTGGTCCAATCTGTTTTCTGTGTTGCCAGTGTAAACCATAAACCACTATCAGCAAGAGACACTATATACGAGACTGCTGGACAAACAATCCAGCCTTCTGGATGCCTTCTGAGCGATGCTGAGAGTGTCAGAGGTGCAATGTACCCTGCTGGATGTGCATATCCAGGTGACACAGCCGCTTGTGTTGATTTTAATATAAAATCTAGTATTAATCAATATCTGCCGTTCACACAAACCTTCAGCAGCTGTAACGAGTTGAATCAGGGACTCAAATGTTACAAATGTAGGAATACCGGGCACACTGTTATAGGACCCCAGTGTGGAGTTTATTTTCAGTGGAAAATTGAGATAAAAACCTGCTATAAAAGTCATCTATACAGTATAAGCTACTATATATGTCAGCTCAAACATATATTAATAAAGATGGTTTAACTTTAAACTTTATTTTTATTTTTCTCTTAATTACTCAACATTTAAAACATCCTTTAAAATATATATTACATAATAAATTTCAACCTGCAGGTAAAGGGCTTACTTTCAGCTTGATAGACATCGCTGGAAAATATACTTCCTTGGCACTTCACCACAGTCTGGATTACTGTGATTCATTAAGCACACTCTGGAAAAAGCTTATAAATCCCCTGGAGTCCGACTGTTTAAATACTTAAATATATATAACGATGTTCGCAGATTCAGGGTCAGTGAGTCTTTTGGAAAATGAGGCAAACTGATCATAACATCAGTAGTTCTGCATCATACCAAATGTTTCAAACTCATACAGAGGGGACACTGGTTCCATGCACTACACACACATACTGTGCTGTACATGCTATACTGCTGCAGTGACCCTATGACTCTGCTCACCTGTGCACTTTGAGACCAGAAGAGAGCTTCTTAAACTGGGGGACATTCTTTTGTACATTCAGCATTAATCCTTTACTGAAAAGAAAACTAACGATTAATGTGTTGTGTGCAGCAAATGTGATGCAGGTCAGCCATTCACTCCTCCTGCCAAAGATCAGACCTTTTTAAAAGCTGAAAAATTTTACATTTCTAGAGAGATGAGCTCCAACCAGCCCAGGGAAGCCTTGGGAGTCTTGACTTTTTCTAAACGGACCATTGAACAGGCGAACAGCATCTAGTAATCCAGCTGTTTATATTCATTAATATACAACACAGTTTACAGCCTTCAATGAGTATACCTGTGTAACCAGAACTTCCATTTGTCTTTAAAATAAACCTTCCTGCTTCTCACAGCCAGCACCATTACACCATTCACTCAAATCTGATGTTAAAGACATCCTTTTCATTATCCTTTCATGTAGCTCTTTTGAATGGCTGTACATTGGGCTATATGCAATGCTACTTACAAAAAACAAAGAATTTGTCTGCAAGTCACAGCTTATTTCCTTCCAGGCAAGGAATAAACCTCTTTCAGTAGCTTCTAGTATAACAAATGTGTTCCAATCCCAAAAGAATAATAAAGTTTCGCTTCTGGGATTGAGCAATATTGGTGCTTTTTCCTGTGCTTTAACCTTTGGCTTGGAGTAATGAGAACTGCCTTCTCAACCAAGCTAAAATCACTTTTCTATCATTAAAAAAGGAATCCCATCATCCCGGGTGATTCACATCGCCCAGAAACAATAACAGTGCTATGACAGAGATCTTAATATAATTACAGAGAGACATTTGCAGTTTGATGTTGACTGACAAAACGCAGAGCAGTGGTGATATCAATACGTTTAAAATGTGGTGTGATTCAGAGCATGGCATCATTCATATCACACTTGGTATCATCACAATTGAGCCATCTGTGTTTACCTTGAAAAAGACATGCCAGCTCAGATCAGACATACAGTACAGTATGCTACTGTACATCTTTGAAGTGGGGATATTCTGCTTTTCAATGGAGAAAAGAGAGCTCGTTGGCAGCCATATTACTGGTGAAGTGCAAGAGGACACACATCCCACTCCATGATCCTACCTAGTTCATTCAGCCACTGGTAACTTGCTTTTTGTTTATTTCCTTTGCTGAGTTACCTCAATTACTGCCAAACGGTACCCTAAACTCACAAATGAAAACCCTTATCTCATAAGTAAAACTATAAATGCATTCTATTATTTCAGCATACAAAATCAAAAAAGCTCCAATAAATTAATGTAGTCCGTTTACCACAACATTCATATGCAACTGTTTCGTTTTCAAAACACACATCTGCTTGCTATTCGGAGCAATCAGTGCTAATTACTTTTAAATGAGTGCATGTAAATGTGATATCTACAAAATTCTTCAAAAATTCTCCCAAATTAAAAAGTCTTTAATTAGATGTTAATCATGAATAAAACCAGCCTGGTGTGACTTCACTAATGCAGAGACAAAAATTTGGGAGACGTGGATGTGGAAAACGTTACGGTGATGCAATTCAGTGTGAGGATCATGACCCGAGACCAACAGTACAGGTGCTGTTACAATGAAATCGAGGCCACTCTTGAGCTGTTGACCATTTTAGTGCAATTAAATCTGAAGCAGTAGAAGGTCCAGCCATTATTCACGTACTCATAAATGAGAAATCATTCAAATTCAGAAGTTAACTTTTTAGAATGTACCCCATAATTACATGTATAATTTGTTTCAATTTTATATGAAGGAAATTCACATGCTTAAATTCCTTTATCATAATTGAAATGATCAGAATTCGAAAAAAAAAACTGTCTGTTTCGCAGAAGAACAAGAACTGAAATTCAAGATATGGTCATTGTCAAAAAAAGATTAGGTGCTTTGTGGGTGAACAAGAGGAAAACAACATGCCTCACATCATAGGTAACGTCTGCATATTCTTTACTGACAGTGTTTTGCCATGAGAGAATTAATTAATGTGTCAATTAATTATTGGAACATGGTGTAAAGTTTGGTTCTGCAAAAGAGAGGTGGATTGAGAAAGGATGTGATAAAGAAACAGTTTTGCTGGATCCTCTCAATGACACAAGTGCAGGAGCATCTGACATAAGCTGGTTTTCTCTCTGCTCTTCTGAGCAGCGCTCACCTTCTGAGGTCATACCCTCTGGATTGCAGCAGCAGTATCGTCTGGAGAAGTGGATCAGAACTCGCTCCCTCTCCTGGGTCTCGCCCATCAGGGGAAAAGCTTTCAGAAATGTTCTGCGCAACAAGAGCAGTGAACAGAGGGGATTTAGCAAAAACCAAAACATTTCACACACACCAGATTCAAGCATTATTTCTCACACAGGGTAGTTTAAAGAAACAAGCAGCCAAACCAAGTGATGTCAAACTGTCAGCAGGATATTTCCAGAAAAGATTTGATGACACTCATGGATCAATAACCTCTGATTTATGTAAAGTTCTTTATGGTCTTATCATGCATGATATGCACTTCATATGCACTTCAGAAGGAAGACACACAGAACAAAGCTCATGGGTTACATTCTCCAAGTTTATTAAACAATACGTTAAATGAGCATAAGTATTAGATAAAAATTAGTCTGGTTACCGTTTGGATGTTTTACACAGAACTGTAACATTGTGAAGGTGTTATGTTTATTTATCTAATAAGTGCTTCTAAAGAAAACAGTTATTTTACATATTAGACATTACCACACAGTACTGCACAGAAATCATTTCAGAGATTCAAAGGAATAGAATGGGTGGGTGAAGATGTTGTGAACATTAACAGAGATGGACAGCAAAATTAAAAATTAAATCTTGTTTTTGAAAAGACTATCTTTTTACAAAGCAGAAATAAATAAATTTGCTTGCTATATATATAACAAAACCATCATGGGGAACATAAGAGTACATGAGAAAAAATAGTTTGGAACACATTCCATTCTTTACTTAAATTAGAAAAATAAAACATTGTTTGCCCTAACCTTCCTATCCAAGTGATTCTTCAATGTCTGGGACAATTTGAAGACTTGAGACTTAATAATACATATTAAAATTTACTCTATTTAATGTTTTCCATGAGGTTCAGTGCAGAAAACAGGACAGACTCCTGTGTTCAGGTCCTCCAGGCGACTACTAGGGGTCTAATAAGTACCAAGGGGCTAAGAAAAGATCCAATGTAAACTTCAACAGAAAGAGCAAAGATGGATGGAAAAGTGAGAGAGACATCTGCTACAGTATGTGATGGTTACCCACCTGAGAGCTCTGTCCAAAGACATGCCAGTGAAGTCAAAGAAGCTAAGGTACTCTGCTGCAACCAACCGGCTGAACTCGTTGCTGTGCAGAGAAGCATGGGAGACTGTTAGATCTGTGCAGTGCACACCTTGACTTGTGAAAAAGCCAGAGAGACAGATCACCAATCAACTTTGAGACTTGGAAATGAACTCAGGGCTAAAATACTGTACATGCCTGAACAGAAAAAATCCACAGAAAAATCCGTTTGAACTGCCCTTCCGTGACAGAGGAGCCTTAAACACCCAGCACACTTGAGCTCACAGCTATTCTGAACATACAAGTTGAATATAAGAAAATAAATTCCTTTAGCACGGCAGACACATCGGAGGGCAGTCATCGCTCCTGCAGGTACCACACTTACTTTTTCCCAAGATGCCGGGCAACATCGCAGCGCTTAAATCCCTCGAGGTTATACAGCCGCTTGGCCAGTCTTCTGGCAGCCTCGGTGTCAGCCTTGCAGCCATTGGCGAGCGTATCGGTGCTCCCGTGCTCCAGCTGCTCCATGCTGCCCATCTCGGAGTCCGAGTCAGAGAGGACATCCTTCAAGTTGGCATCACTGCAGCAGCAAGATGGACAGCAAAGGTCACAGTTCTGTCACATTACTGCGAGAGAAAGCAGGTACCTCTCTCAGGAAGCCCCAGCCCTCTCTAAAATCTACTACCTACCTAACGAGCATGTCATTACAGCACTCATTATACAACGTGCCGCAGGAGACTCTGCCACCTTCCCTGGCGGTAGTGATCCCCAGCTCTCAATCCTACACAAATCTGCTGGGACTCGCAACTGAACATTTGCTTGGGTTCCTCCCAATCTTTAGAAACAGGCTACCTATGAATTGGGCTGGACTGGGAACTCCAGGGCTGGAGATACATGGTTTGGAGTAAAAGTAGGAGAAGTAGGAAGTAGGAAAAGTAGGAGAACACTGCAAGCTGAGTTGATTAGCATGTGAGAACATGCTGTCCTCTCCATACCTTGACCACTCAATATTTATGCAACAATTGCATTATACTGTATGTACAGTTTTGGTATTGTAGTGCACAAGACCACATAGATTCCTTGAGCTTATCATCCGTATTTAGGCTACTGTATATCCTACTTTTAAAGAGACAAATCTTGCTTAGGTTATCCTGTGCTGATCAGTGCGATCAGAGAACACAGTGATCTACAGTCACAGTCCGTGACTAGTACTGAAGGCACCTTGCCTGACACCTTGTCCACAATCAGTGTCTTTGACATCAGTTCTGTTCAACATTTAAGAAATAAGAAAAAAGGTATCTACAGAACTATGGTGTTTACATTTTTTAAACTCATTTTAAACTGAAAACTTTAAAGTAAGATATCCACAGTCATTTACAGTATTGGCTCAGTATGTGAAAACAGCAGTACAGGTATGTGAAAAAGATCATAAAAATACAACTACACTACGGTATCTGCAAACATAAAGATATGATAATAATACATACAGTAAACAGAAAAGGTCAGATAATGGTTTTTCCTGTGACCTTTCCGGTTATCTTTGTAAATAAAAGTAAAAGTTTGAAGGAGTGCTGACAAACTGAAACTCTTAATACCATGCCGACCCCCAAACAGTGGCAGAGTTTATAGTAAAACCATGGGGTTTATCTGGCTGTCAACTGGGGAGGCAGTATCAGCAGCGGGTGGTGGGACAGCCCTGCAGTCTGGATGGAGCCATATACCAACTGACAGCACACAGAGGTAAAAATACTGACACACCCCTCACACGGAATACTGAGCCCTGCCTCTGTTAATTCCCAGAGGGGCGCGCATGCCATGAGGCCCCTCCGCAATCCTGCGGGCGGCACTCTCGGAGAAATCCTCGTCTCCGGGACGCGCAGCTGACACGCTCTCTGTCAGCGTGCTCTCGGGGGAGGAGCGGCGGTGGAGAAATCCCCCCTCGCCACTCAGCTCTGCAGATGGTACTTAATCACCTCACTTCTTTTAAATGGGATTTAACGGCTGGTATATTCAAATGGCATGTCATCTAGCCATCTAATTATTACCCAATTACTTTCTTCCCCATCTCAAACAACCCGCAGTTCTCATTAGAGCAGCCACACTAATGGAGCCTCGCAGCACGCACATCTCCTGGTTCTCAACTTCTAAAGGAAGAAGTTTTCAAAACAATCATTGAACTTGTTCCGTTGCTTACCGCAGTAAAAAGATGTAAACGAGTCTCAGCTCGTCTCAGTCTAAGCTCACTCCATCCGAAAATTCTCATTGCAAAGACTTTTGCATAAGATTTATTGCTGCGTCTTTCTGCCATTGTTCAAGATAAAAATATCCTAATATGGATGTCAACACAGAACACGTCACCAAAACTGACTGCAGTGTTTACTTTTGCATAGCATTTATTCAAGTCAAAGAAGACTATGAAAGTTTAAAAATATACAAAGAGTCTACCATGAAAAAGTATGGCCCACAATAATCAAAGGAGTAGCTGGCCTACGTATGCTTTGCTTTGCTCTTTCAGAGATGTATACAAATATACAGTACAAAAATGTACATTTGTCCTTAAAAGAAAACAATACCTTAGAATACATTACATTCCCACCACAGCTACCACTGCACGTCTCCAGGCAAAAACTACTCAATCTGTGACACAACTCTACCTGTTGCACATCAAGAAGGACCTGGCCTTGCTGTGAACACTAGCCGGCACCACAGTTTAACTGGGGCCAAACGTCAACACTGCAGTGGTGAAACACAACTCATGTATCCCTGGAAAAATATCACTAACCAGCAGTATTAATCTGAGCACATAAGTACTGCTACAAAATATATCGTATTGTACGTGTAGAAAACAACACTACATTTCTAAAATATCATACCAATATCACATCTATAATGGCATATACACACAATATACAATAGTGAAGTATATAAAATTGTGATTAATGTGAAAATGTCTGAACAAGAAAAAAGTAGAGGAATTAATAATGACAACCAATGGGATAACACATACAGCTGTACTACTATGAAAGTAATAATATCATCCTTAGACTTGTATAGCGTTTCTCTGGGCACCACTCAAAGTCCTTTACAGGTAATGGGGACTCCCTTCCCCCACCACCAGTGTGCAGCCCCACCTGGATAATGCAATGTCAGCCACAGTTCAAATAGTAAAGTTACCACATATCAGCTCTCTCGTATTGGAAAGAGAGAGGAAGGTAGCTCAAAGGTGAATGTTTTATACCAGAACTGTCCGTACATCTATTGTGATGTCCTAGGTTAAGCCCAGTGCTCTGCCTTCTGTCAGGAGCTAAGATTGGTGTTTTTCAGCAGTTCCTTGTAGTGACATTCTTGGGTCTGTCAGTATTTCATGTTACTGGGAAAGACTGTGGAATGGGTTTTGGGTTTTGTGGCACTGAAAGGGAAGCAAGCTATTTTGGCTATCTTGTATTTCAAAGAAAGTATTTAGATGTTATACGTCATTAATGGGCACATGCCGGCACTATATTGAGACTGATTTTATTCATGGGTAAAGCTGTTATTGTTTTCTCCTAGAGTGCATGCCTTTACCAGCACTGCTTCTAGAGGATTATAAGATCTCAATGAGTCTGCCAGCACTCCAGTTGTGGCCTGTTTCAGGATGGAGGGCATGTGGTTTTTGGAAGGAGGTTTACACTAGCTGCAGGCTGTATTATAAGCAGTTTTCAGCTGGGGCATGAAGAATTGCACTAACAGTACCTTGAACGTACACAAGCACTGCAGTAGCCATAACAACCAGCTGTTGATCTGGTACTGAATTTACGTGAATTGCAGTTCCTATAATCTCATTTAAGTGAAGTTTTTATTCATCTACAGTACCTACAATTTAAAATTTCCATTATTTTGTAAAATATTTTGAAGTCTGAATTCCACGAATGACCAATGTCATCGGGTTACTGTTCATGGTAAAATCATTAAGCGTGTTGAATTGTTGTCAGTTCTTAAAAAGTATTTATTGTAAAAGGGTTTTGAAAAGCCCACCATTTCATTTTTCTTTTATTATGCAACATCATCAGTTTTTGGTTTGTTACTAAAATAGAAGTTAAAAATTATTTTTTGACAGACCTACACACCCTTAATCACTAGATTTAGTTTTCACAACTCATTCATCCACTTAATACTGAGGTGTGGGTGAGACAGGAGTCCCAGCAGGGCGCAATGCGAGGCTGAACTCTACGGGGCGCACCAGCCCATCACAGAGATTTTCAAAGCTTATAGTTTTGGGAAATTAAATCCACAGTCTCACAAAGCGTCTGTGAAGAACGGTAGAATCCCAACAGCTGTTTTGTGCGTAGTGTGGTATGGCCATGGCCAAGTGTGCAAATAATGGCAAATTAAGCATCAAAAGTAAAATTAAATATCATGTTAAGATACTGTGACTGTAGCCATGTTTGTAACTTTTCTCATTCTTATTTTTGTAGCTTTTGGGTGCTAAGCAAAAACAGAAGTGCCATACCTATAACCCTGTAAAACGTTCAGAACATTTAACAAAGGTTTCTTTATGTCTATTCAGTTAAGATTCTGGAATGTGTCTCGGGTACGTCTGAATTTCTTTTGATGACGAGGCGTTCCAGGCCCTGGGGACCTAAGGCAGAGTTCGCCGCGATGGGAGTGGCTGCGCTTGCTAGTGGATGTACCTGTATTGTTCAAGTCTTCACTGTCTTGACTTCACTTGAACTCTAGTCTCTCTTTTGGAATGGTATCGTGGTTCTTACAGAATAAAGTGTTGCCTTTTTAGACATCAAAATTTTGCTTGTGTGAGACTTTTCTTACAGTTTTACTTTCAGTAGGGAAAGTAAGCAGGGGACGCTCATCCTACAGTCTGTGAGGGTCTTCATGCCCCAGTATAGTGACGGGGACACTATACTGTAAAAGGCGCTGTCCTTCGCATGACACGTAAAACCGAGGTCCTGACTCTCTGTGGTCATTAAAAATCCTGGGGCGTTTCTCAAAAACAATAGGGGTGTTACCCTGGCGTCCTGGACAAATTTCCCCCTGGCCTTTACCAATCATGGCCTCCTAATAAACCCCATCTATGAATTGGCTTCTTTACTCTGTTCTACTCCCCAAATCAGTCCGAGCAATTTGTTTCATCTAAAATAACAGTATGTGTTTCATAACTATTGAAAAAAACTCCTGAGCCACAAAATCTATGATCCGATTAGAATGTTCTGCATTATTATAACATAATCGTGTTTCCTATTACAGCCCCAGCTGAGAAGAAAAAAACATGTATCTCCGTTTCCAATGAGCCTCACTCACTGACCAAACAAGGCAGAGCAGAAGTCACACTGGACACTCTTCCCAACCCTTCTCAAAGGTCTAAACTGCAGGTTCCCCAGGGCACTGGATCAATCCCACACTCTGAATGGAACCCGGGAATCCCCGGAAAATTGAAATAAAGATAGGTGATCTCTAAAGTAGTTAGAGACCTGAGTTTCTACTGGTCCTGGCTATGGTTCTTCCTGCTGAAGAATATTAATAGGCAGGCATACTGACCAGCCCTTAAGGAGGGAAGGAAAGAAGGAGGAAGGAGAAAAGTTAGCA